TTTTGAGCTACAACACTTCATGAAGTTTATAATCTTGGAGAGAAATTACTAGGAAGTATAATCACAAATTGTAGATACTCATTGGCAGTCTGGTTCTTTTCATAGACTTTTTAATTTTCAACTAAAAAAAAAAACATGCTCCCATGTAAATGTACTCAAAAACAAAGTATTTTTATTACAAAAATTAACTGAAGATATTTATCTTTTGACAAGTGCTAATAAAAGTTAATCAAATTTTTATCTTCAGATCTGTGAATAAGATTTATATTACAGTGTAAATTAATTAGCTCAATTTCTAGATTTTCTGAAGCTCACTCATGTTCGTTTTTGTAATGAAAATAACATAAAACTGGACTTAAAATCTTAAACTTTTTTTTAAAAAATTCTTGTCATAATAATGCTAATTAATTTACAGGAAATGTATTCGAAGGTTGCATGTGGTCCATGGGCCACCAGTTTGACTTTGACACTGCTTGACTAGAAAATAAATGCATGTGATTAAAATTAATTTGCAATGACCACATTGCTAGAATATCGCTTCGTAGCAGAATGAACTGCAGTTTTAAACAGGCAAAGTCAGAGCTGATGCAACATAAGGATGTCTACCTCCTGTTAACCCCTCATACAAGGATCTCATCAGCAAGGGGTAACTCAAAGGAATGGCATAGGCCTTCTCTTTAACCATGTAATGAGGTAACATGTCAGTTATGCTATACATAATCCATGTGCTAAGTTTTGAATAATATTTTGCTTCGTGGAAATGTCTTTAGCTTAAGAAAATTCAAAATATTGTTATTTGTACATAAGAGTGTTTCATAAAATTTCTAAAATAATTTTATTGTTTTATTTGTTTATTAGTAGTAAAGAAAGAAGTTATCTGCAAGGCAATATGTAAAATCAGGTACCTTTCTCTTTTTGTGTAAGTCTTAAATTATCTCTAAGTGTTTCTTACCACAATAATAATTACTTTCTTCCCAAAGTTCAACTGAATCTGTTGAGTGATAAAGTTGCAGAATACTAATGCTTCGTCTGGGGTTTGAGTCCCAGGAAATGGGCTGGTTGCATGAGCATTTTTGTGATTTTCCCCATGTGTAACATGGATACATTCCATCTTTCCTAAAAAACTTCTTGATGAAGACATCCATCCTTTTAAGAAAGGGTATTCAAAGGTCATTTTATGTATGCATGATTTTCTTTAAAGCCCCGTGGTGCAAGAATGTTCAAAATCCACATTGTGATATCTAACTGAAAATGAGTTTAATATGGGGTATGGTCCCCTCTCCTAGTCTGACAGGTTATGTAGTGTGATGTCATATTGGACTGGAGGAAGTTGAGTAGTTCCTGTGGCAATCAGTCCCACTCCTGTAGCAAGGCAGTTTTCAACCAGAATGGTTCTCGGAAGGGGATGGCGAGATGAAATTGGCCTCCGAAGTGTCCCAGATATGCTGTATAGAGTTAGGGTAAGGAGATCTAACTGGCCAATCCATGTGGCGAATATCCTCACTTCTCAAGTAATTGTCGACCAGCTGAGCCTTATGTGAATAAGCATTATCATGCATTAACAGGGACCTAGGACCAATTGTAATCCAAAGCCAAACATAGGGTTCTAAGGTCTCTCTATACTTCATAGCAGTCAGAGAACCTTTTACAAGCACATGCAGGAGTGTGTAGCCATCCAACCCAATACCAAGCCAAGTCATTATACCTGCACAACCATAATGAATCTTTTCCGTGATGAGGGAAGGATAGTATCATATCCTAGGCTCTCTCCAGATACAGACAGGTATGCTGAGAACCAACATTCAAGATCAATCTTAACTCATCTTTAAAACACATGGCACTCTACTGAAATCTGGTCTAAGACACATGTTGTCTGCACCATGATGAACACGATGTCTTGTGTGCTGCAGCGAGTGAGATGCAGGCAGTGGGTGTCCTAGCATGTAGCCATATCTTGCAAAGTCTTGGACAACTGTAGACGGTGAAACTTTGGTTTCAATGGCAACATACAGTAGAAATGAGAGCCATGAAAATGTACGTCTTGTGTTGCTCTGCTGAAAATGCCAAATAACAATCCTCACTTATCGTAATGAATCTTATCCAGGTCGGAATTGTCTAGCTCTTCTCAATATGGGTCCAGTGTCCTGAAACTATTTCCACTAATTTCATATGATACTGGGAGTTCTATTGAGCTCCATTGCCACCTGCATTTGTGATTAGCCTGTTTCTAATCCACTGACAATTCTCCATCTCATTCTGTTATCCACTTGTTCTTATCTATTCATTTTACCGGATAAAATTTACTCAATTCTTGTGAAAAACACGGCAAATGTCATGAAGGACTATGAGTACACAAATTGCTGAAACCTTCTCATGCACTTATATCCATTTCAAAATTACAGCTTCACAAACCCCACATACATGTTTACATATTCGACTAATTGCATATTCTTTGGTGGCATAATTAGTACCTTTGAGTCAACAGTTTTGGTAAAACTAGATATAATTTCCAAATTCTCTTAATTTAGCACACAAGTTTATAACATGCATACATACATACATTTCTGGATCCGGTCCTATTAATAGAAAAGTACCAACATGACATTAGTTAGTGATATAGAAACAATCAGTAATGACAGAGATGAAAATATACCAGTAAAAAATTGGAAGGTGGAGATACATGGGAAAAAAAAGGGGGGGATTCAAACCAAGACCCATGGCTATGGCAGTCAGGGTCACTAACCAGTATACCGGCTGTGCAGCTATTTTTTAAAGGAACAGATTCAGCCTTTGCCACTACTAAGGTCAGATGTGGTGGTCATTTTATTATGAAGGCACCAAATAGGCAGTCACCATTACCTCTTGTGAGGGAACAGACAATTTACATTATTGCCTTCTCGGGGATTTGATAAAATCTATCTGCCACTGGCCAGGTATATAATGGAAAATCAAATAATGTTAACAAAATGAATCATGTCAAAATTCTGAAAAGCCATAATCATTCAAACACTATACATTTTTCAAAACATTTTCCTAATATTCAGCATTAAAATAACAGATATTTGCATTTTCATTATCCTTTGATTATTAATTTTATATTATTTTACGCCTATTTGCTTCAATAATTTATCATATTCTGTTACATCTGTGGCGACTTTGTTGTTGTTGTCATCTGTGCTTGTTTTGGACCTCCCAGGTTATGTACTTCCAGTTGGTATTGTGAACTGGTTGCTCTGGTCAGATATTAAATGGTGATATTTGCTAATAGAGAATGCATGTGAATATCACTGTTTTTGATTGCTACTAATATGCCACCAGCTTTATAACCCAGGACTGTAGGTACCATAGCCTTGTATCAAATCGATTATGTCAATTTATGTTCTTTTCCTCCCATCTTAACAGAAAGGGACCTGTACCTATTTGCCCTCGAAATTGATAGAGTTTCAATTAAAATCAAGACAAGGTTGTTGTTTTGCATAATTTTAAGCATTGAGATTTCACTTAATCAGTTACAAATCATTCCAATAATTGGAATTTAAAGCAATTTCAACCTATTTTAATTAAAACCAAGAAAACTTGAAATTAAATTCACAAAAGGGATATCCAGTTATTAACATAATAACTAGTAGTAATAATTAGTTCACTGCCCAACCAGTATAGTGTGTAGCATTGCTCACTGCCATGTAGAAGGGCCCAGGTTTGAATCCCAGAGAAGACATGGATGTTTGTAAATGTATAGTGTCAATGTGGCATGGCGGCGCTCTAAGTATGCAGTGAGCCAAAAGTCTTGTATGGAAGGGGAGAGGGGTGGAAGACCCTCGGACCCATCCCCTCGGGATGCTGTCCATCAAAATTGGGGGCGGAAATGAGCTAAATCGCACTGTAACCTGTAAGGTGCTCAAGGCTGTTGCCAATGACAAGCATATCTTGCGCTCCTTGCCACAAGGTATTCCATGGGCTTGTTCTGATGTTACTGTCAGACAAGGGAGATAAGTCTCAGCACAACAGTTATTAGTTGTCTTGATGTAGATGATTGATGTACAGATTTAGATGAAATTTGATTTATTTTTCACCATTAGAATTCATAATGGTGTTGTAATTAATTGTAATAATGTTTTTATTATGCTCAAGCTAAGTAAGAGTAATGCCATTTAGAATATATATTTCCTGTTATAAAAGTTGTGCTTACCGAGACTCAAGTAAATCATTCTTCTTATTTATACTTTAGTCAGACTTGATTTTCCCTCTTTCTTCTGTAAATTTATTCAATAAACATTTATGTTCTTTTTTTAATAATTTTTAAGCATGTTTTTAATTCTTGCATATGTTACTTATCATTTACTTAATTATTTTGCTCTGTGATTTACGTGTTTCACCACATAAAATAGTTACTATACAGACTGGGCTCAATCTGATAATCTCCCAGAATTAGGCAGGGAGGTTGATCGGCCAGTCAAAAGTTCCCTTTTGAGAAGTACGTGGTATGCATATCCTGCTACCACCCTGGGCTCCCAATCCGAGGTGGCAAATTTTAAAAGTTTCTCTCATAATCAATGTTACACTGAGCAGTAAGGGTGATCACTCCCTGTACCCAGAAACCATAGTCATGGGAAAGGAATTTGACTGGCCATTTTGCTGCTCACCAATACTAAATGGGCCTTTCCTCACCGGAGGGTTTACACCGAATATGAATCAAATGGCAAGCAGTGACCAGTACTGATACCACCTGACTGAAGATTTACAACCAGCGGACCTATGAAGAGTTAGGCCTTTTCCCCACAGGCCCTTGGCTCATTAAAAAAAAGGGGGGGCATTATAAGAGATTATTCAAACTCTAATATATAATTCCAGTTTAAACATTAGCAGACCTAATTTACATACAAATAATGAGAAATGCAGAGGATATCAATGGTTGACTAAAAGAAATTATTATTGAATACATGACTTTTATTTTCTCTAATGATAGCATTTAGTTAAACATTTAATTTTCTGTTTTTTAGATTCACCGATAGATGACAGTGAGTCACCATGGGTTCCAAATGTAGTTCTAGTAGAAAATGACTTAGAAAGTGGAGATTTAGATAATGCATCTGAAAATGAAAAAACACGTAATTTAAATGGAAATGAGAGACTTGAAGATTTTCAGAATGCCGATCAGACAGAATCATCTTTTAAAGGTTTGTTTCAAATGATTTAAGAATCTAATTTTTTAAATGTGCTGAACATTTTCAAAATTTAGCAAATTGGTTTATTTATCTTGTGTTATGTGTTGCTATATCACAGGCATGATGAATAAGTTGATATCATTCAACCAGTCATTCAATCAATCTTAAAGCAAATTTTGGTCAATTGTTTGCATTCTGATAATAGTATCTTTATAAATTAACACAAATGATATCATTATTGCAAAAGCACAGTTTAAGTATTAATCTAATATTATACTTTTTCTCTGCCTTTCTTAGAGGGTAAAAATAATGTTTGACATTGTTATAGTATGCTTTTAAGATATTTTGGTACTTTTATCTGCACAGCCATCGAAAATTACTCATGAAGCAAAGCAGTATGTGGCAAAAATTGTTTCAATGCATGTGGCACCTGTCTGTTTTGGCTGGTATACCATGCTAACGTTTATGGATGCAGATTTTGCATGATTCGCTGATTTTTTTAAGCAAAATATGGGGAGAACAACAATGCAAAAAAGAAGGATTTTTTTTTTAAAAGAAGTGTTTTATTGCCAATGTTTTCTATTTCATTGATTGCTTCTGTATGGAACTCTTAGTATGGCCTTTTTTTGACTGGGCTCAATCAAGGCCTTATTTGACTAAGCTCAATCGTGGGTGGTGATTTTGAAATGATTATTTTCACACATTAGCTAGCGGAAAATTAATCTCCAAAACAGGCGATGAGTGTGTGATCACATAGTAAGAGTGTAGATAATCCAAACGTACCAATATTTTTTCCTCACCTTATATTTCACTTGTTTAGTTTAAAACACTGTCGTTTATTGTATACATATTTTATTCTGTATGCTACATATAGCATGCATATTTTTATCAGTTGTTTAAATATTTATAAAGCTATTGCTGTAATTGCAGAAGAATAGAATTTATGTCTGTCGCAATGTGCAATAATACGATTAAATAATTAGGATGTATTTGAAAAAATGAAAACATCATAGATCATGATTGTGTGTTATTTGAAATACAGTTCTTTCAAATTAATCCCAGAAGCGGTATGATCCAGTAATGAAAGAAACTTATATGCTGAAAGAACAATTATCAGATCATTGGACCTGCTCAGTGTTAAAGAAAAGCTTTTATTTCAAAAGGGTTATTTTCTCAGGGAAGTTTTATTATTTCATTATTTCATTTTATTTGAGCTTTTTGCTTGTTCACCAATGGCTGAGCAGTAAAGTCGCTGAACACATGTAGTTTGATCCAAGTGCAAATCCAACAAACAGGCTGGCTCCATAAGTATTTTCGTGGTTTTCCCCATATAATGCGTGTATGAGGCAGTTTTCCTTAGAAAGTCATCCCTCCCCTTAGGCAGATAGCCATTGAGGCTTTGCCACAGTCACATAAATCAATCCAGCTTTTTGTTTGTTTTATTTGAAGGCAATAAGTTTGGAGAATAGAGGTATACAATAGATACACATTTGTGTTTTAGAGCCAGAAATAACTGTATCTAAGGTTATGAAGGTGTATTGTTGTGGAATGCAAATGTTTGGAGCAATTTCTTGTCACTGAGTGATATAAAATGCAGTATTGAAAATCATATTCTAAGAAGGTAACAGAGATGTAGCTAGGGTTTTCCGCGCCCGGGGACAAGTGAAGATTTTGCTTCCCTCTCTGAAACACTTCATTCATGGAAGACACTTCATTCTAAAATTTCAGTTTGGTGCCCCCTGGATGCTGCGCCTGGGGACAGATTTTCGCCCCACCCTAGCTATGCCACTGGAAGGTATTTTCAATACCAGAATTAGAGTACTTCCTCATTATTATGGTCCTATGATGAATTGCCAGTATGTATCACTGACTGTCTCCAAATGGCCAGTATTCCTAACTGCAATCAGTTACTGTGATCTGCATGTCACAACAAGAACTTTAAGTAATCCACATATTATCATTGTATTTCTATTGTGTTTTCTTTTTTCTCCCCCAAAAATATTAACAATTTTTAATATACCAAGGAGAAAGGAAGATGCTGTATCATTCTGCCAAGAAAAAGGCATTTTACCTTACATTTGAATAAATAAAAATGGCCATAAAATAAAACTAAATATCAATGAAAGCATTTGGAAATGTAATATAAAAGCTGCAACAAAAGAAAGTGAAGGAAAGTCATATGTTCTGACAACTGGTTCAGTGGTTTCATAATACTGTTTATAACAGTGCTGTGATTTATATATCATTGTGCAGATGAACTGGTGGCAAATGATTTGCTTAAAAATCAATACAACATATGTGAAAATAAAACTGTTTATTGGAAGAATTTCATGAAAGAGTTGTATTCTCTATATCTGCTGTAACAATATAACAGATAATAGACCATCTAATCCAATAATCTAATAGTCATCTAAAAACCGTGGAAATAAGTGTATACAGTCAAAAGTCGTTAATTCGGACACCCATAATTCGGAATGATCTATAATCCGGACCTCAAAACTAAAAACTTTCTGCGCATGCGCCACGTTGACACATGCGCATAGGCGCTTACGCGTGCGCGTAAGACCTTTTACGACTGCGCATATGAGTGTGCGCAAGTGCAGAATACGTTTTCGCGTGCGCGTTATATGTATAATGGACGTATAAGCTAAAATTATCTAATTATCTATTTCAGTTAATGTTGATGATTGCGTTGTTCCTTAATTTTCGAATTGGATCCGGCTTATTATTTTTTGCAGACTGTAAGAGCAATTTTATAAAAGTAAGCTTAAACTTTCGATTATATCAAATAGAATTTCCGATATATATTTGTTAATATGTAAAGGATCTAAAGCGAAAGTATGTTTTGAAATCCGAAATCTGTTTATCAATTTCACGCTGCTCGGCGGGGGGAAAGCCGCGACGGGCGCGTAATGAATTGGAAGTTGATTTGTCAGCACTATCCTTATCTTCAGCGCAGATGTTTTTATTTTATTTGGCTTATAATTCCTTACCAAATGTAGTATTTCATCTCGATATGCTCCATCTTGATATGATTTAAAACAAGTTCCTCGTCATTATAATTCGCTTCCGATAGCGAAGAAAAGTGACAGAGGTTATTGAAAACGAAAAAATTTCGATTGACAAATTAGTCGGTGTTCTTGACACACAGCAATTATAGGACTTGAACAGCGGAACTTTGTAACTGAACAAGAAATTATGTCTGTTTAATAGAATTAAAGAGAAAGTATTATCACATGAAACGAAGCAAAACTTAAACAACTTACATTGAAAGAAATGTTTAATAAAGTAAACAAATAAATATTAAACTTTTTCTTTTTGCAAATTTTAATACCCTTTAGATCATAATTGTTCTTTATTTCATAAATTACGGTTTCATATTTTTAATTTTAGAATTTCTGCATGCCATCTTACGAGATTTAAACTGATGATCTATAATCCGGAAAAATCGATAATCCGGAGTCGCCGAAGTCTCGACGAGTCCGGATTAACGACTTTTGACTGTATATGTTTGTACAGCAAAAAAACATTTTCACAGGGATCTTCTTACAACAGTGGATATGCAGTAAATTATGCTAAGAAACTGGTAATTTATTTTTTATTTTTTTTTTATTCATCTTCTGGCTATAGAAAAATTGTGGGAAAAAGAAAAACATGTAGAAGAAGGATTAATAATTTATTCAGACTCTTCATTGGTGTGTGAGTAGTGGAATTGGAAAAAACAGGTTATAGCTGTGACGTGCCATGGGTTTTACTGAAGGGAATAAAATTAAAGAAAAATTATGAATATCTCTAAGACAGGGTTAATGGTCATCTTCATGGAAATTCAGTACTAATATGTACATCAGTCACTCTGAAATGTTTTAGATACAAGCAGACAATAAGCGGCTGAGAAAAAATTAATGGTTAGATTTGAAAATAAGAACTATTTTATATTAGCAGATTATTTTATATTGCCCATTTGCAAGTAGTTTAGCACAGAATAAATTTTAGGCAGAAGGAAAAATGGACTTCCTCGAGAACATTATTACACTATGATTTTCTGTGATTTTAAAGTAGGATTAAATAAAGAAGAATGCATTCAAATCTGCAGTTAGTATTTGGAGATGAAGGTCCATTTTGTGCTACTGTATTCAGATGGTTTACAGAATTTCACCGAGGCCGAAACTTGGTTCAGGAGGAAGAACACACAGGAAAGCCACTGTCAGCAGTAATCCCAAGTAATGTGTCTGCCATATGGAAAATGTTAATTGATGATAATCATTGCACCTACCAAATGGTACAGAAGGAACCTAACATTGGATCTGCTGCCATGCATAAAATTATTCATGAAGAATTGCATATGAAAAGACTAGTTTGCCCACTGGGTTCCTTGTAATTTAACTGAGTACCAGAAAGAGGAGCATGTTAGAATAAGTAAAGAAACCCTTAATTTTCTTAAGGATGATGGCCACTGCATTAGTTCTAAAATATATGTGGTGATGAAACATACATACTGTTGTGTGTGTGTGGATTCATAATAGATTGAATGCACACACATCCGATGATAGGTTAATAAAATTTATTTTATCAAAATAAACACTTCAAAGTTCTGGAGTTTTCCACAGAAATATGTGTACATGTGTTCACAGTATCACAGAGTGCAATCAATATTTACACTCAAACTAATAAGAACGTTAAACACAACGCAATGCAAAACGCATCTAAAGAGAAAGCTACCCCAGAAATGCCTCCAATCTCATGCTAAACTATCCTTATATAGGTTTCAACCGGCTGCTGAAATATTTGTAATACTTTCTGCTTCTCAAAATTACTGGAAAATAATATGAGGGTCTAACAGCTAATATAGTGATGAATTACAATACTTATTATGATGATGCAGTGACTGGACCAGAATGTCACCAAATAGTCGCCAAAACCATTGTCAGCTTGGCAATATCTCACCAAATTACTGACATACTCAGATTACTCAATGTTAAACAGACATGACCCTGTATTCTTACTTTTCTGAC